ATCTTGCCTGAATGCTTTAATTAAAAATGTACAAAAGACGAATATTTTATTTTACCTTCTCATCCTCTTTGGATTTTAATTATTTAAGTATAGTATTTAAATGTTATAATTTTTTTGAGTGATATTGAGTTTAGTTACATAGTTAATGTAAACTTTTAGAACTCTTTTAATTATTAAGAGTTTTTTAATTTTTAGAATTCCTTTTATACTTCTTAGTAATCTTTTGGAGCAGTTATAAAAACTCTTCCAAATTATGGTAATTCAGATAATTTAGGGAATTCTGTTTATTAAAATGGTGTACTGATGCAGTAATTCAAATTAAAAGAATAATAAAACAACGAAAATGAATATATTGTTGGAATTTATTACTTGAGCAACCTAGCAGAAAATATTGATGTGACTGAGCCTATTTTGATGTATGGTTCATTTAAGACATCATCTAATTAATATGGAATGATTGTAAACAAAAAATAGGGAACAGGAACATGTTTATATTTTTTAAACGATTAAATATTAAATAATTCTATAAGTACATGGAATGTAACCTGTTATTTTTTTCAGAAGAATAAAATGATGAATGTTTCTATTTATTGTTAAAATGCATTTTCAAATGGTATTTATAACATTACATTCTATCTACCTGAAATAGAGAAAAAACACCGAGAGTGGATTTATACTCTGATTTCAATGATAATTTTACTTTTGATAGCTTTTTATTGTTAAGTTAGAATCAGTACAAGGGGTGCAGGATATATAAATACCGAAATTGAATTATGATTTATATCAACAATCCATCATTAATTATTGAAAATATATTTTTTTTTTATTTATTTACTATAAAATCAAATAATGCAGTAAATATTTATTCACTTACCTTTTCATTTATTAATAAAATATAATATTATTTAAATGTTAAAAACTATTTTAAATTAAATTCATTGTATTTTAGATATACCATCTATAGAATATTTGCCATAATATTTAGTTGAATTATTAATTTATTATTCGGTTTCCCATTTTATTAATTTCTGGAATAATTCTTAATTTCTTCAATTTAACTTGTCTAAAAGGTTAACATAATAATTTTCATCAATATTAGATTTATAAGTTAGGATAGTTTTCATTACTAAATAATAAGTATCATCATATATTTAGTTGATTGATTACAATGTTTATTGTATTTTAACCCTAAAAAGTCTTCTAAAAATAATCAGAATTTCATTCATTCAAATACAAGATATAATTAAGATAATCTAATTCCTTGAGATTCAAAATTCTGATTTATTGCATCATTTAATATTACATCCAGAACTTTAAGAAAATTAAAACCAAAAATTATTTCTAATTATTTGAAGATAACAAAAAATTTTATGATATTATCTCCATATATAGATAAATGGTTCTGTAAATTTCCAATAATTTTTGCAAAATATTTATTATAAATACTTAAACTCTGATAGATACTGCTTAATAGTTCCCACTTCAACAGTCATAAAATAAACGTAATTATTGTAAGCCACTTATTCAATTGGCTTGCATCATAAAAAAATTCTTCATCCACTCATAGTCCTTCAAATTTATTATTGTTGAATCCTTATTATTATTAAGTCTTTTTTGAAAAATGCATTAACCATCTTATTTTAGCTCAGATCCACATGGAGTTTCTTCCCACCTCAACATTTTTATGGCCCATCCATAATTATAATCATCTCTAAATTATTTAATATTTGATCTTCCGATTTACTTAGGTTAGAAATCTAGAATAGAGTCCAAACGCATAACTTCATTAATAGTCAAGAGGTATTGTCACTGCATACTTATTAGGAGAGTATTATGCCCCCATCTTAACAAATGAATGATATCAGTAATTCTAATTCCATTATGAATCTGAAAGATAAGGGAAAATGCCATAGGTGTGTAAGTAAAAAAAAAGGGTCCATATTCCTTTTTAACTTCCCTAACTAAACTATCTTTATCATCATAAAGACTGCTCATTTAAAATCATATTTTGATGATTTCAAATCAAAGACTTATTGACAAAATAATTCTTCAAGGCCTGTATAAACTAAATTATAATTTGTCTATAATTCTTCTCTTCTTACTTAGTAGTAATCTCCAAAATATTAAGTTACTCATCAATAATTTCTTGCCAAGATTGTTGAGTCAATCCAAATAACTTCTAAAGAATTCTATTTACGTCATCCTTTAATCCTTAAACAAATGAGTTAGGAGAGAAAAATTAAGTTCAGTAAACTTAATGACTTCAACAAATAACATCTAGAGTCACCAAAATTTTAACTTGAGTTTTTACTTCTATCAGGAGAATTGAGCTGGTCAATCTGAGGTCAAACAATAAATAGGTTCAATTTTATTAATTAATTGAGTGAATGAAATGTTAAACATATATAGAGAATACTTTAAATACAAACTTTTCCTATTGGATAATTGTAATTACTAGATCAGTGCCAAATGATTGAAAGAAGAAAAAAACTCAAGCCCCATTTATTTTTGTATATTTTTTATGTATTTAACATGAAATTAAAGTAAAAAAAATTCAAGTAGTTATATCATTCTTTTATTAAAATGCAATAAATTAGATTAAAATAATTAACAAATAAATAAAATATATAAGTTAATAATAATTATTATGTAAATCATAAACTGTGTATTAATGAATAATAGTATATAATCAAATTATTTATATCTATAATTAATTATAGAAACAGTAGATTAATAATGATATTTGAAACAAATTTAAGTATTTTTTTTATGAAACTTTATGTATAGATAATTAATAAGATATATATATAATATATATTCTCTAAAATAGATAATAATAAATTTTGTATTTAGACTCTTTAAATCACAATTAATTTAAAAGAATTCAATTTTTATATCATTTTGTTTTCTTACTATTTTTACAAAATTCAATTGCCCTAAAAATAACCTAGTTTATACAAGCGATTAGTAATTCTGATCCAATTAGTATTTCAATTATTGATAATCGAATAATCTATATTATAAATGTTTGTAATTACTTTTTGTTAACTTAGTATTTTCTTTGATTCCCAAATCAAAAAGAAACCAAAAGTGATTAAAATTATGCTATTTAAACAAAAATAAATAGCATAATTGGGTGACATTTTGATATAAGTTATCAAGAATAAAAGAGTTGGACTTAATATAAATGTTGCTCCAACTTAAATGTTAAGAATTTATTATACTTCCATAATTGATTTCACTTTTTGTTTTCATTGAATAAAATGCAAAACAAAAAATAATCACAAATGCATTTACCCATCCAACTAAAATCAAACCAATTCCAAAATTATAGGCAATCAATATACATATTGTTGAGATCGTCAATGCATAACAAGAAAATATTACTATTAATAACACTAATTGTGAAACCCAGAATTGCTTATAAAATAATTATAATAATTTTACTTTTCGAATATAAGTTATTCCTAAATTCAACCAAATTTATAGAATTACTCCAATTATAAAAAAACAGTAAAATAAATAGGTTGGTTTAATATCATAACTATCTATCTGAGAAACAAGACAACCCTTCTCACATTCTAAAGCTTTTTTTGTTTCACAATAACAAAAGTCTTTAATATTTGGAGTTTTGGTAATCAACCAAAATTATAATTCAGAAAAAAGACCAAGAAGAATTACTGCAGGAATGATAAAATTTTCAATGACTAATGCTGCGTATACACTACTTATATAATCCGCTCTTTTCAAAGAATCATTTAGTTTTTGATCATCTTTTATATTCTAAAAATATCAATTACTTTCTATTGATTCAACTTCAAATTATTAAGTATATTGAGTTTAGTTTTACTCTAGACTATCATCGATGTAATGTAAAGGCTAGTTAGGTTGATTTTTCTCATAACTTGTGTATATATACATTTTATTGTATATATTTTTAATAATGTAAAATAAATTCCATATTTTTTAGATATGAATTGATAATTAATTAAAATTAATATAATTTATATATATTAACAATTTACTTAAGAATTAACAACATTTATAATTAAAAAGTAACTATTTTGCATCCTAAAAATGTATTTTTTTAATTGAAATATTCTAAATTTCAACAATTGTTAATTACTTTATCAAGATTGCTTTAAATGATTATTCCATATCATTTTAGGATTAACATAATATCTTCCATTTATTTTGAATTTTGCACAAAGTTAATTAAATTTATGGTATATTTGAATACTTTAGTTTAGGTAACATAGAACAAAGATACATAAATGCAGAAAATTAATGTGATCAGAATGGAAAAAGTTAAACCTACTTTTATTAGTATTTAGTTTTAGTATAAATTTGAATATTATGCGGTATGGTTTTATTTGTATTCTAACTAATTTAAATTTACATTTAATATTCTAAATTCTGCTAATAACTTCTCTCTATTTCCTTTTCAATCTTCAAATAATAATTTGAATTATAATTTTTAATATCAAATATACAATAATTCCTTATCCAGATATTTCTAATGTTCTTTGAATTTAAATTATCAGAAGGAGATTGGGTAATTGAAGAGTAAATATAAAGATTAACTAAGGGAGAATTATGTAATGTTGATAATAAAGGAAAATAAAGGAATTAAAACAATTTTTAACAATAAGTCATTAATAATAATAAGTTATGATGCAATAATTGAAAAAAAATTAAAGAGTGGAGTATTATTTACAAAGAAAAAGTGATTCAATAAATTCAATTAATCAAAAAGCATATAAAAAAGGAAAGAAGGAAGGAATATGATTAGTAGGAAAAAAACTAGGGAATAAGAAAGTTTTTGTCATAAATTATTGTGAAGTGGTAAAAATTGAAAAAAAATATATTAAAATGTAGTTTAGTCGTCCTAATTATTAATCAAAGACAATTTATTATTTGGTGAAATATAATAATGAAAAGGGAAATTAATATAAATAATAAAGTAAAATTGATAATTTGATAGTTTTTCTATTCAAATTATGGAAAGTAATCATTAATTTATTACTTTAGAGATTTTACAAACGAATAAGATGAAGAATTTATATATGGAGCCAATAAGATACGGATGGCATAGTCTAAAAGCAAAAAAAGTATTTTTAAGTATCTCATTCATTTAGAAATGGTAGCTAAATTCTAGAATTATTTAGACAAAGTAATTCTAAATTGTTGTCTTAAAAAAAAATGCTGATCTTAATCTAATTTATTATAATATTATTTAAGGTATTATTTAATTTATTTTGGGTATAAGATTATTAAAAAAAAAGAATAGTTTTGGATGAATAATTAAAAATAAATGTTTTATTTTGATAATTTTATACTATAAATCATAATTCTAAATTGTTTTATTTGAATTAATCAGTATAATTGAAATATCAGATATTTCATGAATAAATTAACAATATTTTTAATAAAATAATAAAGTTCATTAATCATATTTAATTTCATAAACTCTAAATTTCGGCTTTGATTACCCAATCTAAGCAATTAAATAATTTCCATTCCTTGAAATATTAAAAACTTTTATATTTTCACCACAATCCATGCAATTTTTTATAATGTTCTAATTTTATGACAAATTTAATCTCTAGATAAAAAATAACTTTTCATATTGTTTAATTAAAAAGAACTACCTCATTTCATTATAAACTAATTCATAATCATTACTATTTAAATTTTAGAGGCTATTAAGTTCAAACCTTAAGTTATTGCTGTAAATAAATTAATCGTTGTTTTTGATATATCCTTCTATTTATCCTTAAGTAGCTTAAGTAATTATTGTATTATTAGATTAAAAAAACACTCTTTAGATCCTTTTTCCTTATGTGATGATTAACTATTTGAATTCCCATAATTCTGTAAATGTTTTTCCCCAAATTATAATTTAATCATCCTCGCTACATGATACCATAAGGTCATATGATTTACTTAAGCTTACACAATTTACTTTTTTTTTATGTTTCTACAGATTTTATATTTCTTAAACATAATTATTATCTTAATTTATTCTCAAGATCCCTATTTTTCCTTAAGAGCTACAGAAAATTAATTAGTCTTCTTTATCATTTAGAATTATTTATGTGATCGAGCCTGAGTTTACTTATTTTGCCCAACTTTTCTCCCAATTACTTCTTAGCTAATTCCAACACATTAAAAGGGAATCATCACCTCCAGATACTAGCCAATTACGGTTTTTGCTGACAACTATACATCGAATGTCCTCAGAATGTCCTTAAAGAATGATTTAATTATCAATGATCTTATCCTATTGGAAATCCCATACTTTAATTTATTTACCTGTACCAGCAATCACTTTAGAATCATCAAAATTAAATGTTAGAACTTGACATAATTATTGTTAACTAAATTTATGCAATTATTTATGTGTTATCCCTTAAAATATCGGAGTTAAATTAAAACTGGTGTTGAAATTTGAAATTATATCATATAATTTTCAATGATGTTTTATTATCTTAGTATCTAACTATTAATGAATATTAGCAATTATCTCTTTTATCTATCTTTTTTCACTCTCAATAAAAAATCTTCACTAACATTTAACAAATTTAATTCCTTGAATACACTACATAAATATTGTTGTTTATATAAGTCATAAATTTATTCTTTAGACTTTTAAATCGCCCTTTCGATTTGATCAAAATGAATAAACAAATTTTACTTTTGTTATAGTATTATCTATGATTTTGTATCAAGATAATTCTGTTAACCATGGAAAAACTAAGCAAGTTAATCATTTGGTTTTAATTTTCTCCTCTCTATTTTTTCGATTATCGATTGAAGCGGTTAACATAAAATACTATCTTTCCTTTGATTTAGACATTTATTGCATACTAATTTTTCTTAACCTTTCAATTACTCATCTAGCAAAACTTAAGAAGCATATTCGGAATGGTTCAAACATACAAACTATTCATCTTTTTCGATCATATAAACATCTTGCTTATTAAGATTTATCGGAGTTTGCTAATTATGCTAAGTCTGAAAAAATGTAGATTGATTTACTGAATTTGTTGGTAACAAGCTGATACGTGATAAATGCAAATTTATTAATTCAGCTTCAGCATTTTCTAGGTTGTTAAAATAACCCATATTTGCAATAGAGTCTTAAGTATTTTATATATATGAATTGGATTTATCATAAAATAATTAGACTTTTCTTACAATATTATTATCTTAGCTATTTGGTATATTTTGTTTGAACAATTGATTCTATTTTTCATCTTAGACGTTAAGTATTTATTAATTCTGCATTAGATTTTCTTGAGTTATTTTACTATTGAAAAAATTTTAATAATCCTTTCCTTAAATTTTAATTTCTTCTTCAGCTTCTTCTAAGTAATATTCTTCCTATTTATTTCTCAATAATTTAAGAGACTCTAAATTTTAGTTCCTAATATTTTCTTAAAACCTTTAACATTCCTGCGATAAAAAATAATTTCTCTAAGAATTGAAACACAAACTGTCTTTAAACTATACAATTAATTATTTTGATCCATTTATTCCTTGCCTTAGTATTCTAGAGAACCCTAAATCTTCTAATCTACTATTTTGAGGTAAAAATGACATGATCACATGTATCCCTCCATTTTTTTCTAAATTTGTACTTATTTTTATTACTACCTATCTAATCATTTCATATGGGACAATTATAATCGTTTGTGGCTAAATTTCATTTTGAGAAATTTAATCATCTTTTAAATATTTGATGACCTTTTAATTCCTGGAAAATATACTTTCTATTTTACTGACCACACCTTTAGTTTTAGCAATTATCAATACAGCTCTATTATTTAATATTTATTCTTGAACAGCTTAAGAAATCCTTTCTAGCCATTCTTTTTCATCAAGTAAAGCCAATCCTTTAACTTCGACTATTTGACTTTAAGAATGAAAAGGAATGAATACAAAGTCTATATTGTAGTGCTTTGATAAAAAATTTTATTGAGCTTTTGAACCTAAACTTCCTGTTATTCCCAACAACCGTTCTTTATATAAATTCGATAATGCAATATTTTATTTAATTTCAGTTTTATTAATATCTGAATGCATTTAATTACCTGCAATCATCAAAGAATCAATCTCGTCATTCAAAATAACATATCCGTATATTCTATGTTTACTTGAGCCATATTTTTATTGTTTATTTCTTAAAATACCCTCTTAAAAACTCAAAATATCTCCATAGATGACTTGACTTTAATAGTATGAATTAATTTCTTCATTAAGCTTATTTTAATCATTTATATTATGTGAAACAGAAATTGAAAATTATTAATAAAATTGTTTAAACTATTTGGTGTTTTGAATAGCCAAAGATGGTGAACTGGTTATAATATCAATATTCATTTGTTTTTTCTTAATTAATAATATTGCCAGAAGTGCTATTATTGATGTTTTCCCTTCTCCAGAATAAATTTCTACTATTCTTCCTTTTGACCCATGTTCATATAGTTCTAAAACTGATAATAGTTAAATAGGTTTGGGATAATAGTTAAACTATTTCATAAATTTTTTACATAGAAGAATCGTATCACTCAGCTCAATTTATGAGGATAAAGAAAATTTGTTAGCTTCATTTATTTAACTATAAGTTGATAGAATATGAAAAGTTTGTCTAATTAAGTTAGATGAATTAAAATGTCTATTCGCAACCAAATTGTCGAACTCTTTTAAATTCAATTCTAATACTCTATCCTATTCTAATTATTAAACTTCTATTAGTTGTAAAAATTCTTCAAATGAATAAAATCCTAACCGAAAAACCTTATCAAATTATTTAGAAAGAGATTGATTTTTTTAAATATATATTATTATTTAAGATGCTTCTTCATCATTAATTATTTTTCTTTTTTTAAGATCTTTGACAATATCAATATACTCTTATTAACATAAATACACTTAAATTGAACTTTAAAGGGTCTCCCAATCCTAATATTCTTTCTATAATATCTCGATAAACTTATCTGCTTGCTTAAACTATTGTTACTATTGTCTTAATATTTTGTTTTACTCTTCGTTTAGCTTCAAAGATAATTAAGTATTTTCTATGATTTGGTTATTGTTTACAATCTTACTATGACATAAAGTATTAGGAATGCAATTAGACTACATCTTCCGATTAGAAAATAGTAAGTTTTATATATTTATATATTCAAATTCTATTACATTTCAGCCTTGAAATTATATAATACATAACAATAAATAAAAATATTGAGGATTAGTGTAAATTTATAGAATTAAATAATCATATGTATATATATATNTTGTAGTGCTTTGATAAAAAATTTTATTGAGCTTTTGAACCTAAACTTCCTGTTATTCCCAACAACCGTTCTTTATATAAATTCGATAATGCAATATTTTATTTAATTTCAGTTTTATTAATATCTGAATGCATTTAATTACCTGCAATCATCAAAGAATCAATCTCGTCATTCAAAATAACATATCCGTATATTCTATGTTTACTTGAGCCATATTTTTATTGTTTATTTCTTAAAATACCCTCTTAAAAACTCAAAATATCTCCATAGATGACTTGACTTTAATAGTATGAATTAATTTCTTCATTAAGCTTATTTTAATCATTTATATTATGTGAAACAGAAATTGAAAATTATTAATAAAATTGTTTAAACTATTTGGTGTTTTGAATAGCCAAAGATGGTGAACTGGTTATAATATCAATATTCATTTGTTTTTTCTTAATTAATAATATTGCCAGAAGTGCTATTATTGATGTTTTCCCTTCTCCAGAATAAATTTCTACTATTCTTCCTTTTGACCCATGTTCATATAGTTCTAAAACTGATAATAGTTAAATAGGTTTGGGATAATAGTTAAACTATTTCATAAATTTTTTACATAGAAGAATCGTATCACTCAGCTCAATTTATGAGGATAAAGAAAATTTGTTAGCTTCATTTATTTAACTATAAGTTGATAGAATATGAAAAGTTTGTCTAATTAAGTTAGATGAATTAAAATGTCTATTCGCAACCAAATTGTCGAACTCTTTTAAATTCAATTCTAATACTCTATCCTATTCTAATTATTAAACTTCTATTAGTTGTAAAAATTCTTCAAATGAATAAAATCCTAACCGAAAAACCTTATCAAATTATTTAGAAAGAGATTGATTTTTTTAAATATATATTATTATTTAAGATGCTTCTTCATCATTAATTATTTTTCTTTTTTTAAGATCTTTGACAATATCAATATACTCTTATTAACATAAATACACTTAAATTGAACTTTAAAGGGTCTCCCAATCCTAATATTCTTTCTATAATATCTCGATAAACTTATCTGCTTGCTTAAACTATTGTTACTATTGTCTTAATATTTTGTTTTACTCTTCGTTTAGCTTCAAAGATAATTAAGTATTTTCTATGATTTGGTTATTGTTTACAATCTTACTATGACATAAAGTATTAGGAATGCAATTAGACTACATCTTCCGATTAGAAAATAGTAAGTTTTATATATTTATATATTCAAATTCTATTACATTTCAGCCTTGAAATTATATAATACATAACAATAAATAAAAATATTGAGGATTAGTGTAAATTTATAGAATTAAATAATCATATGTATATATATATATTGTTAATTAATTTATTGTTAATATTTTAAAGAGATATATTTTTTCTTTTATTTAATACAATTTATTTCATTAATATTAAATATTAAATTATGATTATTGATACAGTATTTAGGGTAAGAATAAATACAAAATACGCACTACAAAGAACCAACAAGTGTTAAATTAACTTTTTCATAATAAAGTTTAGATTATTTCATTCTACATTGATTAACATTAATAAAGAACAATATTAAATTTAACATTTTTTTGGGAAATTCGCATAAGTTAATTTTATTGAAACACTCTTTATATTAACAATATAGTTTGTGTAAAGTAAATGTTACGATCCAATCATTTTGTTAATATAAAAAAAATATAAAGTAATAGATTATTAATATGGTTTCTTAAATTTGTTAGGAAAAAATAAATTTAACATAATAATTATTTAAATATTATGATCAATATAATTTATGAAATGAAATTTTAAATCTTGAAGGAAAGATAAGTATTTTAAAAGTTGATGATAATTTTGATTTGTAGGTAGTGTTTTGGATATTAAAAAAATTAATTAGTCAAAAATGTATTTTTATATTATTAAATATAAATTATTTAACAATTTTTTTTCATAATCATTTTAATGTTATCATAAAAAATGAAATTGCATAACAGTAAATAAAATAACCATTAAATGCTTATTTTTAAATAATTTCTTCTTTTTCAATTACTTAATAAGTTTCAGTATAGATAATCTAAATCTTATAAGAGCAACATTAATCAATTTTTATACAAAAACCATAATGATAGTTTATCAGTATTTTATAATATATTTTTTATAAATAAAACTGCTTATCACCTTTAAAGCTTTTCTTGGGATTTTTGACATAAAAATATTCCTCGTTTTTGAATTTGAGACCACTTAATTATTAGAAGTAAAATTGATATAATATCAAGTTAATTAGTTAATTTGAAAACAAATTTGTAAAAATTGGTTTTATAAATATACAGAATTTTAATACAATTTAATTAAAAATTTATTATAATAAAGATTTTGGTACGAAAAAATACAAATAATATCTCTCAATTTAAAATAATTAATTTGTCTCAATTTTATTATTAAATATTAAAAAATATTAGAGATATAAAATAAAAGTATATATTGAGTCAATTTAATCATTATAATTTATGATTGTATTTGATAATCTATAAATTTTTGTTATTTATTTGAATAATAAAATGTATTAATTAAATATTATGATGATAGACACAAGAAACTTTATAATGAATCTTTTATTATTATTCAAAATAACATATCTACTTTTGAATAATGATAGAAGATTATAGGTTTATTTTCAAAAAGAAGTCAAAGTTCGGAGATTGCTAACTAATTTAATTATATTTTATCATAAAGATATAAAATATTATTCTTTGTAAATTTGATTTGATTAATTATAAATAATTTACTAGCTTTTAATTAATTTATCAATTAATATTATGTAATTTCGTTTATCACAAGATAAAATCTAACAAAAAATATATATAATTTTTTAAGCCTTATGGCAATACTATATAAAGTTATAATAACAACAATCAAATCCATTAAATTTAGTGACTTATAAGTTTTTTCATTTTCAATAAATGATATGGGGCTTATCTTATAATTATTCAAATAATTCAATTCCATTTTATGTATTTTTTTCGATAAATTTTATTTTTTAAGCCAAATATAAATATGTATTGAATTTAATATTATAAATTATTGGCATGTGTTGGCCTCGTCCATTATCTAACGAATTAATCAATTTTCTAAGGCAGGAATTTCCTGAAAATTAACATCCAAATAATATAGTTGTTTCATCTAATCCATAAAACCTTAGGAACAAATATCCAACAAACAAAAAGTATTTGTTAAAAAAAGGAATATATACTATCGATTAATTAGCTAACAATTAAAATGCTTTAATGATGATAATGTCTGAGGTGGAAGTTGAATAGTTTCACTTAGCCTACAGATATAGAAATAATTAAAGGTAAGAACCATTATCGTAATTGCCTTATGAAAATTCTGGATACACCTATAGATTAGAACTATAAAATAGATTAATAGATGGTAGGAATGTTTTAGTTATTGGAGAAAAAGGTTCTGGTAAATCTACTTTGATAAATGCAATCGGGAATTCTCTTCTTTTGGGTTATGCAGATAAGTATAGATATCATATATCTGATTATGATTTTAATGGAGTTATATAAGAGTGTGATTTAGATGTATTAGATATAAAATTTAAATTTTTGGAAGTACTTGGTTATGGATAAGATCTTAAATAGAATCATGATATTATGTTATAGACATATGAGCATCTTCAAAAAAATAATGTTTCAATAGATTGTATAGTTATTTGTAGGAGATTTGGCAATTAAGCTTTAAACACAAAAGAAAAATAGATTTTTTGCCATTTGGCTGAGGTTTTTGGATAAGGATATATAAAAAAATGTTTTTTAGTAAATACTAATTATGATCTTGGTAATCAAAATCAAATTTAAGAATTATTGGCTTAAGGTTTAAATNGTATTTGATAATCTATAAATTTTTGTTATTTATTTGAATAATAAAATGTATTAATTAAATATTATGATGATAGACACAAGAAACTTTATAATGAATCTTTTATTATTATTCAAAATAACATATCTACTTTTGAATAATGATAGAAGATTATAGGTTTATTTTCAAAAAGAAGTCAAAGTTCGGAGATTGCTAACTAATTTAATTATATTTTATCATAAAGATATAAAATATTATTCTTTGTAAATTTGATTTGATTAATTATAAATAATTTACTAGCTTTTAATTAATTTATCAATTAATATTATGTAATTTCGTTTATCACAAGATAAAATCTAACAAAAAATATATATAATTTTTTAAGCCTTATGGCAATACTATATAAAGTTATAATAACAACAATCAAATCCATTAAATTTAGTGACTTATAAGTTTTTTCATTTTCAATAAATGATATGGGGCTTATCTTATAATTATTCAAATAATTCAATTCCATTTTATGTATTTTTTTCGATAAATTTTATTTTTTAAGCCAAATATAAATATGTATTGAATTTAATATTATAAATTATTGGCATGTGTTGGCCTCGTCCATTATCTAACGAATTAATCAATTTTCTAAGGCAGGAATTTCCTGAAAATTAACATCCAAATAATATAGTTGTTTCATCTAATCCATAAAACCTTAGGAACAAATATCCAACAAACAAAAAGTATTTGTTAAAAAAAGGAATATATACTATCGATTAATTAGCTAACAATTAAAATGCTTTAATGATGATAATGTCTGAGGTGGAAGTTGAATAGTTTCACTTAGCCTACAGATATAGAAATAATTAAAGGTAAGAACCATTATCGTAATTGCCTTATGAAAATTCTGGATACACCTATAGATTAGAACTATAAAATAGATTAATAGATGGTAGGAATGTTTTAGTTATTGGAGAAAAAGGTTCTGGTAAATCTACTTTGATAAATGCAATCGGGAATTCTCTTCTTTTGGGTTATGCAGATAAGTATAGATATCATATATCTGATTATGATTTTAATGGAGTTATATAAGAGTGTGATTTAGATGTATTAGATATAAAATTTAAATTTTTGGAAGTACTTGGTTATGGATAAGATCTTAAATAGAATCATGATATTATGTTATAGACATATGAGCATCTTCAAAAAAATAATGTTTCAATAGATTGTATAGTTATTTGTAGGAGATTTGGCAATTAAGCTTTAAACACAAAAGAAAAATAGATTTTTTGCCATTTGGCTGAGGTTTTTGGATAAGGATATATAAAAAAATGTTTTTTAGTAAATACTAATTATGATCTTGGTAATCAAAATCAAATTTAAGAATTATTGGCTTAAGGTTTAAATAATATAAATTAAATATATGATTTAATGCCAAATCCAAAAATATTGTTTGTAAATTCATTAACAACTCCTTTTGAAGGTAATGCAGGAGCTTCGCGTTTTGAAACTGTGAATGTTGCCAAAAATGCAATAATCAATCTTATCTAAACTAATGCTAATAGAATTACAATTATCAATCAAGATGCATTTAAACATAGAAGGTAAATAGAAAAAGAATTATACTATACAAAGAACTAGATTAAAATTAGTTTAGTTGAATTACTACCATGTTTAGAAAATTATTTTTCAATTTGTGAAGTCGATGAAAATCAAGATGAACTATTCTATGCAAACACTATTTTTTGGAGCACTCTTGTTAGAGGTGAAAGAATTAGAGAAGGCATAGAATTAAGGTTAATTTTAGAAGAAATAAATTTACCTGATTAAATATTAACAAGGATTGAATAGGAATAAAGTTAACTTCTAAATTCTTTAACAATTGATATAGAAATATAATAAAGAAGAAGGTAGTAAGCAATTTACAAAGAATAATTAAGATTTTTGAAGAATACTTTAAATTAAGAAAAAAATAACAGATTAGAAACAATTTTATAATTAGCAGATGATTACATAAACAACTAAGAACATTTCTTATAACAAACATATCTTCATATAGAAGAGACAAGGGAACAATTAATTACAAGTAATATGAATAATCAAATGAAATTATATTTATAATAAGATTAGGGTCTTGAAATTCCATAATTATAATAAGAATTTGAGGTTATCAGATAAAGATTGTATTTGCCTAATACAAATTTATTTGCAACATAAATTATTGCAATATGAATAAGATTAAATATTACAAAAACATATAAATTATTCATTTTAGTTGTTTAATTGAGGCATTCTGTTTTATTTTTTTTTTAATTACATTTATAGTGAATAATTATAACTGAATATATGTAATAATAATTTAATTAAAATGGCTTTATGGAAAGTATTTCAGAAAGCAGGATAACGATCAACAATGCCTGCTGCTTTTAAAGAGAATTTATTTGAGAAGCCATCTGAGTTTTAATATAAAGTGAAAAATATGGCAATAAGTTATGAGACAGCATCATGGATGTTAAGAGAAGGTATAGTAGAATACAATCCAAATAAATGGGGATATGTTTTAAGTAAATCACATAGAGATTTCAATGATTATTGGACTAGAAGTATATAGAGATTAAAATTATAGCTATGTTTACTAGATGTGGATTATTTTTGACTGCTTGTTGGTTATTTAGTTGTTTATATACAAAACCAAGATTTGATTGGTAAGATTATCATGATCCAAAATTTGAATAGAAAACATATGGTGATTTAGAAGAAGGTGGTGATGAAGGTGGAGATGATGATTGAAAATAAATGAAAAATATACATAAAGAATAAATATTAGTATAAAGATCCCATATATAATTATATTAATTTAAATTATAATGAATCCTCCTCTTGGTGGAAAGATAATAAACTGTCCAGGTAAAAGAGTAGCTGATTACCTATTTATCAAAGAGATAGGTAAAGGAGCCTTTGGATAAGTATTAATTTTGAATTAAGATAGGTATTTCAAGCAAAAAATATGATAACAAATGAGGTGGTTGCTATAAAATGTATAGCAAGATCAAAGCTAAGTGATCATGGAGGAATAGTTGGACAATTAATTCAAAGTGAAGTGGAAGTGTTAAGATAAATCCATAATTAACATGTTGTTAGATTAGTGTAATATTTGGAATCTGCAAATTAGTGTTATATAGTATTAGAATATTGTAATTGTAATAATATCTGATTAATAAATCAGCTGGTGATTTTGAATAGTTATGGTAGAGTAGAAATAAACGAATTCCAGAGAATGATGCTATAAATTATATGAAATAAGTATTGGCTGGTATGTAGGCCTTACATGAGAAAAACATATTGCATAGAGATCTCAAGTTAGCAAATATATTAATACATAATTCTACTTTAAAAATTGCAGATCTAGGATTCTGTAAATAATTGAGTGATCCAAATTAATAAGAGAAATTAAGTCTAGGATCATTAGGAAATATGGCACCAGAAGTAGTAGAATAATAACCTTATGGAATGGCAGCAGATATGTTTTCAATTGGCAGTATGTTTTATCAACTTATATTTGGATAATTTCCATTTACTAATTAAAATTAACAAAAATTCTTGGAAGATATAAAAAACAGTAAAATATTTCTAAATATATTAAAGACAAACCAAATTTCCGAAGAAATGGATTAGCAATTTCTTAAGAATTGGAATAGTTATTAGAGAAAATGTTAATTAAGGATCCAAATCGGAGATTGAAATGGAGTGAACTTTATTCCCATCCATTGATGCAATAAAAAGATTTAAGTAGGTATGTAATCTATATAAGGATATGCTTAATTATCTTTGAATGCTATACAAGCCGACTTAATTAATACAAAAGAAATTGAACAATTTTATAAGGATAAAGATTAAAAATAAATGGTAGAGAAGCCTTAAGACATTCTTTCTAGATTAAATATTAATAAATAATAAGAATTTGTTAGGGTTGTGTCTTAATAATTAATTGAAGATGACGGAACTCCTGGTTAAATGGAAGACAATATTAAATAGGTTGAATAATTATAATTAAATATGGAACAATAAATATAAGAAGATAAATTAGTTGAATAATATATTGATAAATATATGAGATTGAGAGATGAAATAGTATATGTATCAAGAACTTTAAATGAAGCATTTGAAAATCTTGGATTAGATTAATGTTGTTTACTTTGTCTAATGTTGGCTAAAAAGATTTATATTTTAAATGAACGATTAACTAAGACTTTATTAGAGAAAGATAATATATTCTAAATTAATGAGCGGATATTAATAAAAGTTTATGCACATCAACATTTCTAAAAGTTTATATAATAAATTGTAGAAGAAACTACATTTGCTAAAGATTATGTTACTTATTTTGCAGAATCATTATAGTATATTTTATATATTATATTATTAGACTTTAGCCAAAGTTATTTTAAAATAAATAAGATTGGCATTCAGAAATTTCTAAAGAGATTTCATATTAATTTAATTCAATATTTAAAGAAGTTCTTAATGACTTTGTATTCAAATTAATGGAATAGACTCATTAAATTAATGCAAATCAAGAATATGATGATTAAAAAAAAAAGAATATTAATAAACATTATTTCTAATTATAAATACATTTAATTGATTGCAGTAAATATGATAAAATTTATAATAAACATGGAGTAATATTATTTTTTAATTTAATAGAAAGTGAATATTTATGAATAATTTGATGGATTAGCCAATAAACCAGTTTTAGATTTGTAAACAATAGCATAATAGAAATTTAATGAAATGTTTGAATGAATCCTAAAGTTTTAATTAATATATAAATATAATTAATTTCAGTTTCAAATGGCAGATGAAAATTTAGAATAAATAATTGATATGCCAGAGCAATCAGACATGATCAATGATGCAAGAACTTAAGTATAATATATATCTACTTCAAGGCTAAATATGCAGTTGAACATTTTAAAGTGGAATCATAAATATCTAATTACATTAAGAAGTTTTTTGATGAGAAATATGGTCCAAATTG